TGAGGTATAAGAGCACAGCCAACACAGTATTGGTTTTTCAGCATAGACATCTTATAAGAGAGTATTGTTGATCAAAATGTGTACAGCTTGCCTCTTTGGCAGTACCTTCAAAACCATGGCACTGTTCTTTTGACTGTCTCCAAGTTCTTGTTCTTTAAGGGTGGATTTGATTGTTGAAAATTTCCAGTTATTTAGAACCAAATTTGTTGATCAAAAAAGAGTAATAATTTTTTTAATCAAAACTAAAATTAAACTTGTGAGATTTATTTTCTTGAAGGACTTGTGGACTAGTTAAGATCATTCCTGAAGATTCTAAAAATATTTGAGGATTAACATCACTAAAGCAAGTGAAAAACCTCCTCAGTTGGTATTTTTTGTTGTTTGAACACACACATTCTGGGATGATTATTTTTTTAAATCCTATTAATATGTAGTATATTAAAATTTTTGTATAGTTATGGCTGGGGATATAGCTCAGTTGGTAGAGTGCTTACCTCTCATGCACAATGCTCTGGGTTCAATCCCCAGCACCACAAAAAAAGAAAAAAAATCATGTAGCTGTAAAGATAATGAGTTTCACATATAACATTTTTAGGTTTTGAGGTTACATTGTGTGTTTGTGTGTGTGTGTGTGTGTGTGTGTGTGTGTGTTAAGTAATTAACACTTCTGGAGCTGGGGCCATAGCTCAGTGATAGAATGCCTGCCTCGCATGTGTGAGGCACTGGGTTCAATCCTTAGCACCACATAATAATAATAATAATAATAATAATAATAATAATAATAAAAAGATACAGTCTTCTGCATTCAAAACAACACCAAAGAAATGTGTAATGAAAAGTCTCTTCCTGAGGCTGGGGATGTGGCTCAAGCGGTGGTGTGCTCGCCTGGCATGCACAGGGTGCTGGGTTCGATCCTCAGCACCACATAGGAATGGAGTGAAGATATTGTGTCCACTGAAAACTAAAAAAAATAATAATAATAAAGATTGAAAGATTCTCTCTCTCAAAAAAAAAGTCTCTTCATGAACTTTGGATGGTATAGAGGGGAGAATGGGGCAGTGGGGATGGGAAGGACAGTAGAATGAGACAGACATTATTACCCTATATACATGTATGATTACATTACTGGTGTGACTCTGCACCATGCACAGCAAGAGGAAGGAGAAGTTGTGTTCCATTTGTGTACAATGTCAAAATGCATTCTACTGTCATGTATAACTAACTAGAGCAAATTTAAAACTTAAAAAAAAWAAATTAAAAGTCTCTTCATTCTAAGAGCTATATTATGTTTTCTCTGTAAAAGAAATGTATAACATGCACAGACTTCCCTTTTTTATACCGATAGTGTCATACTATACATTCAGTGTTCTGTATCTTAGACCCCTTCACTTGGCTACCATTGAATAACAGCATGAAAAGAAGTTCTTTATTCTTTTTATAGCTTGTCCTTATTTCCTATACTAGAAGGTAACTTAACTTTACTTAACTAGTTGCCTAATGATAGCACCTTTTGCTTATCATTAAGGATATAATGAGTTACCTTATAGAGATAATTTACCACTCCTGAGTATATATCTCAAAATGAAGTTCTTAATAGAATATCTGAGTCAAAGATAGATAGATACATACATATATACATACATACATACATTTATACATATACATACATGCTCCCCAGTGGCCCTTCTCAGATTATATTAACTGGTAGTTAATATTTCTATTTCCATATATCCTTCTCAGTACTTCTAATTGTGCATTTTCTCAACTTTATCAGTTGATATGTTTTTTTCCCAAGTATCTCAGGGTAGTGAGATACTTCTAATGATATTTCTTTTATTATGAATTAAGTTGTTTTATGTGGCTTCTTGGACATTTATCAATTGTGTTCTTGGGTTTTTATCTTACCAATTTAGAGAATTTTTTATTAGAGACTCTTTGTCTACATGCTATTTAAAAAAAAATAAAACACTGTAARTACTGTGCACAGATAGTTGCCAAATGTAGCACAAAACTGAGCCAGAAAATTCCTTTTCAACAGCTGAAGAAAATTAACTGCGAACATGAAAATCAATAAATAACTGCATCAACCGAGGCATAGAATGTACAAAAGCCACCCTCCTGGTTAAGACAATGCCGTCTACTTGGTGTACAGAAAATTTTTAAACTATTTGATAAAATAATTTTTTTCTGGGTTCACTATGGCTAATGGGGATATAAAATTTTCCTTTTAGCCAGATTTTAAATTGAGAAAATATAATGTTGAGCATTTTATGATAACAGATAATATCAGGTGTGCATGCTACTCTAGCCCCATACTGGGGAGGCTGAGGCAATTGAGTACAGCCTGGGAACATAAGTGAGACCTCAACTCAAAAAATAATAATAGCAACAACAAATGTTAATTACCCGATGAAAGATCCCTAAGGGCTTCTTTTCTACCCCTATTTCAGCTGCCTCTCTTGCAAAAATTACTGGGCTTTTTTTTACATGTATACATACTTATTCATATTTGTAGTAGAAACACAATCATGACCCAAACTAGGAGATGTATTCCAAGGACAAAGAGAGAACTTGTGTATTTCCTCATTAATGCCATTAAACCCTCAAATTTTTTATAGAAGGCATTTTCTAAAGGAAGTCCAAAAGTTTGAAATTAGTGCAAGAATAAAAACCAACTTCTYTTAAACAGCCTATGCAAAAACAAAAATAAAACTTTTAATTGAATCAAAGCTTAATTGGTTTGGTTTGTTTGGTTGGTTGTTTTTAGTTTTTTGTTTTTGATTATTTGTTTGCCTACTACACATCAAATTTAGCATATTAATCCTGTTTTGGAAATATTTTATCTAAGTTCGTAACATTTCCCATCAAGACTTGTAAATGCCCTGTTATAACAGTGGGATCTATTGTTTTATATGTGTGCATGCACTTAATATAAGTTAGATTTCTTAAGGAGATTAGGAAGATTGAGGAGTTAATATGTGGATCAGAGCAATGGGACAACTTTAGATAATCTCTGACCAGTTTCCTAATTAAGATAATGATAGGAATTAAGTGATTTAATTTCCATCACCATGGTCATTGTTTTAGTTTGATTATTTTTGTTTGTTGTATTTTTCAGCATCCTTACAGAATTTGATTTCTCCTGTATTTGTTATCATAGAAATCAGTTTAATTGAAAGCCATAATTATGTTCATTTAAAAGTGAATGTAGGACTGGGGTTGTAGCTCAGTGGTGGGGTGCTTGCCTAGCACATGTGAGGCCCTGGGTTTGATCCTCAGCACCATATAAAGATAAATAAAGAAGAGGCTATGGCTCAGAGGTAGCGCACTTGCCTGGCATGTGTGAGGCCCTGGGTTTGATTCTGAGCACCACATATAAATAAATAAAATAAAGACCTATCAACAATTAAAAAAAAATTTTTAAGATAAATAAATAAAATAAAAGTATTGTGTCCGTCTACAACTAAAAAAAAAAATAAAGTGAATGTGTTTGTAGGGATTTTTATTTATACTAAATATTACATGTATTTCACATAAAAGTGAGCCTAATGTGTTTTGCATAACTTTTTCAGGTATCCTTAAATCTACTTATTTCTTATTCACTAGAATGAAAAATTCTACATAACTCTTCTCTTGAAACTCTAAGCTAGACCGGAGGTGTAACTCAGCAATACAGGACTTGCCAATCTTGCATTCAGCTCTGGGTTGGATCCCTAGCACCTCAAAGACAATAACAAACTCAGAACGCTTTTAGCTTAAAAATTGCATTATTTACCTAGGACTGCTATAAAGAAATACATAGACTGGAGACTTAAACAACAGAAGTTTATATTCTTGCAATTCTGGAGGCTGGAAGTTGTAACGGGTTTGTTTTCTTCTGAAGCCTCTCTTTGGCCTGGGGATGACTGCTTTCTCTCTAGGCTGTGTTCTAATCTTCTTATAAAGAGTCTGTAATGATCCATTTAAAATGAATTGCTTCTTTAAAGACCCTGTCTCCAAATAGTCGCATCTTGAGGTACAAGATATTAGGATTTCCACATATGAATTTGGAGGGACATGGTTTAACCCATAACAATGACCAGTTAACATAGATTCATTTTGGAAATTATAAATAACTGTTGTAAAAAGAAAAATAATCCTTACTCCTATTGCCGGAAATGAACCAAGGAGAAAATAGAAAGAGCTTCCCAGAATTTTTTCTATTAACATAGTTTATAAAGATAGATTCATCCTGAACATAACGTCTTAGAATATGCTTTTTCTTTTTTCTTTAACATATATTATCAATAGGTATACCATAATTCATTAATCAGTCTCTAAATTTCTAAATTCAGGTTATGATTTTTTCCACTATTAATAGTTAAGAGGTAATCATAAATTTTTCTAAAAAAAAAATTACTAAAATGTATACAATGTTTTCTTCAGTTACAAAACATAGTCCAACCTTTCTTCATGTGAGTATCATTATAAGCCTGAGTTGTTATACCATAATTATACAGCTATCTTCTTAGGGTAACAATTAGAGCCTTGTTCATTTGCTCAATAGCCTCAAACTGCCATACCCTTTAGTTTCTATTTCTACCTTTTATTGACTGCATTTTATCTTTTGCTCTTAGTTCTCATTTCATGGTGATGACACTCTCTCTACATACAGTGTAGTGTAATATGCAATAGATTGAAAAAGTAGTCAAATGAAATTATTTACTTTTAAATTTACTTTTAAAATAAATAATTTCTGACAAAGTTCTTGATTCTCCTATGGTAATATAAACCTATGTACAAACTCAATTCTATATTTTCTTTTACTGAGAAATATTTTCTCACTTTCTCATTTACTTTTATATATAGCTACATTCTGGATAATTTATGTTTCTGAGTAAGTAACCTGTCATTGAAGTAATATTTTATAGGGAAAAAATCTCACAATTACACAATGTATTTTGAAAATATTGTCATTTTTATCTTTTTATTGTGACAATGACCTTTTCTTCTTCAATCAGGATTGCCTGAACTGGAATTGGAAGCAATTGATAACCAGTTTGGACAACCAGGAACAGGTGACCAGATTCCATGGGCAAATAATGCTGTGACAGCTATTAATCAGAATAAAGCAGAAGAGTAAGTAATATATTTTATATTTTATAAAGTATCAAATACCAACCTCTAAGCCAAGAACTACTATTCCCAAATTGAATTCTTGTTTACTTTGTATTTTGTGAGTTATACATTGATATAAATGTTTAAGGGAGAAAAGAGAGGGTGAGGGAATACAGAATCAAGCAGATTAATTTACTACATGACATAAGGGTAGTGTGCATTGTAATCACCAAGAGATGGACATGGTATACAACTGTTGTTTTGTATTTCATCTATATTCCTTTGTTTTGATTACTGTCATATTCTTGGGACCTGTGGATGAATTGGCCTCAGCACAACAATTATATTGCCCTTAAGCTTTTAGTCATATAATTATTTTGTCTAAAATTTCTCTTTGTTTGAAGGCATAAGGAAGGAAAGTACTTTCTACGTCTATTTAGTACTCTGATTAGAATTTAATTTCTTAATACACATAGGCAGCTGTATTCCTTAGCACAGAGTTTGTCTCATACATGGCAACCAAAAGGAGACTAAATAGCATTGAGTGTGGTTTAGAACTTTAACTTGGACTGGGTTCCCATTATAAACTGATACACTGGCTTTTCTTTTTCCTTTAACCTATATTATCAAAGGGTCATCACTTTCCCACAGAAAGAGTTCTTATATTATTTTATTAGTGTAATTAGAATCAGTATTATTTTCTATATTTTTCTAAGTTTTATTTTTTCTATATTTCTACATATATTAATTTTCTGTATGTTTCTAAGTTGATATCACTTTGGATTAGATACATATTTTCTACAAATCAACAGTTTGTTTTGTTGCTTCATGCCTACCATGTTTCATTTTTCTAGTTTGATTTCTTTCATATATGTTAATTGTGTCATACTGTCAATAGGATTTGATCAACTTTTGGGGAAGCGAAACCAGGAATTAAATTCAGGGGCACTTAATCATTGAGCCACATCCTCAGCCCTATTTTGTTTCTTATTTAGAAGCAGGGTCACACGGAGTTGCTTAGTTTCTCGCTTTTGCTGAGGCTGGCTTTGAACTCACRATCCTCCTGCCTTAGCCTCCCAAGCCACTGGGATTATAGGAATGCACTACTGTGCCTGGCATGATTTGATCATATTTGAAAGTAAAATAATATTTGTGTTGATTATACTTCAGTTATTAATAATTGATGATATAGAATAAATAAATAAATCTGAGTATAGGCCAAATGATTTTTCTGAGTTTTTATCTTATTTTTATTTTTTTACTTTTGTTGAAAATTATTTTCCCTTAATTATGTTTGTTCCCTTTTTCAGGATATTTCCGTAAGCTAATATGAAGAATATAGAAACAAAGTTTGATGATTGACAAAAGAATGAAATGTATTCAAGCTGTATATACTGATGTTCTTTTAATTTCTGTACATTAAGCATGGAACATTTTATCGCATTAGAATTTATTGCCAAGCATTTCAACAGAAAATTTTCTAGAACCAGATTTGTACCTATATGTGTGTATTTGCATTCATAATATTGAATAATTTTTTGCTGTTTCATTTTTAAACTTTCTTAAATCTTTTGATTCTGCAGCCAGTGTATCAGTTCACAATTAGATGAGCTTCTCTGTCCACCAACAACAGTAGAAGGAAGAAATGATGAGAAGGCTCTTCTGGAACAACTGGTGTCCTTCCTCAGTGGCAAAGATGAAACTGAGCTTGCTGAACTAGACAGAGCACTGGGAATTGACAAACTTGTTCAGGTATTTATTGCAGTTGGCATTAATTAAACAGTGCAACCCTGAGAAACCAGAAAGTGACTTTTTGTTGTTGTTGTTCTGGACATTGAACTTGGGGCCTCATGCATACTAGGTAAGCACTCTCTCACTGAGCCACATCCCCAGAAAGTGATTTTTAAGCAAGATTTTTCAGTATCATCCCCACCCTGCTTTAGCTGTTTTATAATTTACCCCTTATTGAATTTATCAAAATACATAATAAAGGAGTTGAGGATTTAGCTTAAGGATTTTAACACTTGCCTAGCATGTTCAAGGCCCTGAGTTCAGTCCTGGGCCCTGAAAAAAAAAAACAAAAAACACACACACACATACATACACACATACACACACAATAACTAATGGGCTTTTTAAACAAAAAGAGTACCATGATCATTAGAATTAGAATGCCTTAGTTTTTCACTATGGATCAGAATCTTACAAGCTCTAGCTAGAATAGATTCCAGATTTATATCATCACTTCTTGTTTTAGAGTTAAATTTACCCTTCTTCATGCTTTTTTTTCAAGATCMTTTTTTTGGTGCATTATAATTGTACCTTATAGTGGGCTTAATTGTTACATATTCTATTAGTACATGCACATAACATAATTTGGTTAATTTCATTGTCCAGTACTTCCATTTTCCCTCCCCTCCCAGCCCCATTGTCCSCTTTCTTGTGATCTTTCCCCCTCCCAAACCCATTTTTTTCTTTTCTTCTCTCTTCTTTTTTTTTTTGCGTCTCTCTAGCTTGCACAGAGGAGAGAAAACATATGACCCTTGATTTTCTGAGTCTGGCTTCCTTCACTTAACATAATGCTTTTAAGTCCCAACTATTTTCCTGTAAATAACCCAATTTTATTATTTTTTATGGATCAGTAAAATTCCATTGTGTTTTGTGTATGTATGTATGTGAATATATATATATAATGTGCCACATTTTCTTTATCCATTCACCTATTGATCAACACATAGGCTGGTTCCATGATTTAGCTATTGGGAATTGTGGTCTTCAACCTACATATGTTCCATGATATTTCAACATCCTATTTAGCATTTTTCATGTTGTAAGGTTATAAAATGAATTTAATGTATTTTTTCTTTAATGGTACTGGGGATTGAACTGAGAGCCTTGCTTATGCAAGGCAAGCACTAACCTATATTCCCAGCCCTTTTTAAATTTTATTTTGATACAAGGTCTTACTAAGTTGCCCAGCTGGCCTTGAATTTGTGATCCTCCTGCCTCAGRTTCCCAAGAAGCTGAGATTAAAAATTTTTATGGTATGTGGCCATGCCCAGCTTATGACCAGCATTTTTTCAGTGGAAATGAGTGTAAAATACAGTGTCAGAATGCATAGCCCATAAAAAGGGCAAGGTATGTTTCATGAAAAACACACACACACACACACACACACATATGCTCTCCCTGTCTGTCTCTGTCTCTCTCTCATTCTCTGCCACACACACACACCAGATCACAATTTAAATTACATTTCTTGCAGTGAGTACAGTTATAACATTTGAAAGCTGAAACTCTATGGTCTTATATTACTTTTAGCTATGGATTTTTTTCAAATAAGGTAAACGATTGGGTTCTATTTGAGAGAAAAATGCCTGAACATATATAAAAGAGTCATCTCTGATTTCAAGCCCCACTTCTAAACTTAGGTGGTTAGCTTTAATCAAATTATTTGCCCTTCAAAGACTCTGATTTAAAGACTTTGAGTTTTATGTTAACTTATTAAATGTAAAGTTCATTGCTTCTTAGACTTTTCATTGAAGTTCTTTTCAAACTTGTGACTTCACTTCATTGATTTAGGTCCTTTATTTTAATCATATTCTCATCTCTGCTGATATTTAAAGCATCTTAGTTTATCCGTTATTTCATTTCAAAAGCAACTTTCACAAATGATTTCTTTAGGTGACAAACYTTTAGAGAGCGGGAATTCAGAATGAATATATTATGATGACACTTTCTAGAGATAACGTGCTTACAGATCCAAAATTATATAGCAACACATGTCATTTATTGGCAGAAATGTATTTGCAAAGTGTTCTGCCTTCTTTCTTGACAGGGCGGTGGATTAGATGTATTATCAGAGAGATTTCCACCACAGCAAGCAACACCACCTCTAATGATGGAAGAAAGACCCAACCTCTATTCACAGCCTTACTCTTCTCCTTCTCCTACTGCCAATCTCCCTAGCCCATTCCAAGGCATGGTCAGGCAGAAACCTTCACTGGGGACTATGCCTGTTCAAGTAACACCTCCCAGAGGTGCTTTTTCACCTGGCATGGGTATGCAGCCCAGGCAAACTCTAAACAGACCTCCAGCTGCACCTAACCAACTTAGACTTCAACTACAACAGCGGTTACAGGGACAGCAGCAGGTGAGTACTCTCCTACAACAGTTTATACTTTTCAAAGGTTTGTGCCAAATATTGTTATAATAAGAGAGCCCTGTTGCTACAACAAAGGTGTGAAGTCTATTCCCAGACTTCCATGAAAGACTCAAAGAACCAAACTTGGTCTACTAAGATGAAAGACCCTTTTATTTGGTTAAAAATGACTGACTCATAGCAAAGCACTTTGAGTCCTACAGCTTAAAAGCAATCTAATTTTTGTTTTCTGAGATACAAATTATTTAGATTGGACATCATGCAATTATTAAATTAATAAAGAGAAACATCTTAATATACAAAATAGAACAACCAGAGATTCTACTTATGATTGTTGGAACTGAAAATAAGGTTTGTTTATGTTATTTGAAATTGGTGAGATGGATGTCTAATGATATTATTACAAAAGAAGAATGGAGAAAGGATACAAGTTTGGGAGTCTGGAAATTGTAATGGTTAATTTCTCCCATGTCAGAAAATGAGTATATATAGTGGCATAAATATTTAAGATTGCATACACGCAGACATGTGGATAATTATCAGGGACCAAAGGAAAAAAATGCATTTGTGGGAAGTGGGGTTGTGAATTGTTGCTTTCTTGTTATCAGTCCTTCTCTATTCTTTTTAACCACATGGGTGTATTGCTTTGGGTTTGTAGAAAAGTATTTAAAGAAATTCTCTGGAGCCTTCCTAATTTAGGAAGCAAGAGAATTAAGGAATAAATTATATCAGAGAGGCATTATGATATAATGGTTATAAGAGTTAGCTCTAGGCATCCTGTAAAACTCTGCAGAGCTCACAGGTATTAATAGCTTCCAGCAGAGTCACCACGAGCATTGCCAGCTCAGCAAACGAAGCCCCCCAATTCCTTGGCAAGGTAGGAGACTGGTTCTGGGGACTCTACCACTTTGCCACTGATAGGAATGATTTCCAGAGGAACTTSATCCTCGGTTTGGGTCTCTTTGCTGCTGGTTTTTGGCTAACCAGGAACTTGAGTGACAATGACCTAATGGCACTTCAACCAAGGGTCTAGCCAAGTAGACAAATGAAATTCTCATGCTATATCTCAAAAGTGAGACATGCTGCCAATGCATGAGTATTTATTAGGGTGCATACTTAGATGGAATATGTATGATCCAACGAGGGCTGAGCTTCTCTCACAGCTGGGAAATATTCAGCATGATTGTGTTCCTCCATTAGGCTACCTGGTCTGGTATGTGTTTCAGCATACATCAACATCTCAGGTGGTCAGTAGGTGGTCAGAGGTTTGTGGTCCAATCAAACATTTGCCCCTAGATTTACAAGGTTGATGGTCTCTTTCTACCAAGGCCTTTTTTCTGTTTCAGTGCATTCCAAAAAAAAACTTATATAAGGAGTTGGAAAGTTATAAAATAATTTATGGGCTCTTTAGTGCATCCTTACATTTTGGTTCTTTTTTGTCCCTCAGGCTCTTTTGTGTCCAGCTCAGGAATTATTTATGAGTTGTTCGTTCTATATTTTAACAGAGATTTTTTTTTTCCTTTTTTTCTAACTCAGTGTCTCATAAAATTGTTGTCAGAATTAAATGAGTTAATAAAGAGCTTAGAAAAGCTCCGGGCTTATACTTCAACATTAATAAATGTCACCTATTATTATTTGTAAAAAAAAAAAAATATTGTGCTATACCCAAACCTTCTAAAAACATCCTATAATTTGTGACCACCACAAGATGTGCCTTGATGGTAGCTGAAGTTTGATTGCCTGACTGAATTCCATTCTATGCTCAGCATTCAGCCTCTGCCCAAATATTGCCTCTGTTCTGTAAAGTTCTGTACATAGCTGAGTGTGGCAACACTCACCTGTAATCCCAGTGACTTGGGAGGCCAAGATAGAAGGATCAGAAGTTCAAGGCCAGCATCAGAAAATTAGCAAGACCCTAAGAAACTTAGTGAGACCCTATCTTAAAATAAAAAGGACTGGAGATGTAGCTCAGTGGTTAAGTGCCTCCAGGGATCAATCCCTGGTACCCATTCCTACCCACCCACACTACACCCCCCCMAAAAAAAATTCTGCACATAGTTCCTAGATTTAGGAAGGGGTGATCTTTGCTCTTGTCCCAAGGAATAATAATGATGTCCAAAGGAATAAATATTTAACAAATATTTGAAATAAAAACCACATACACCAAAAAAAAAAAAGTCATCTCTGATTTCAAGCCCTAGTTCTAAACTTAAGTGGTTAGCTTTCATCAAATTGTTTGCTCTTTTAAAGACTCTGATTCCTTGTCTATAAAAACAGTCTAATAAATAATTTCTTTACCTCATAGATAGTTATATGGGTTAAAAGGAGTAAAGAATGTAAATGTGCCCACTCTACCTAAAGAGAGGAAAGTGGTGGAAGAGAATAAGAGAAAGGGAGATACAAGACGGGGAAAATTCCTAAATGATAGAATAACAAAGAAATAATTTTCAAAATGCTGGGTGCTCAAAGAAGAATTAAGGGAAGAAACAAAAGAGAAATAAAGAGATGGAGTCATAATATGATTTGAGGAATTAGTTGAAGATACACCACTTCTTGTTACAGCTTGCAATTTATTTTTTAATATATATTAATTTTTTTAGTTGTAGGTGGGCACACAATATCTCTATTTCATTTTTACGTGGTGCTGAGGATCGAACCCAGTGCCTCACGAATGCTAGACAAGCACTTTACCACTGAGCCACAGCCCCAGCCCGCAATTCATTTTTCTGATAGAGAACACAATAATAAAATACCTTCTCCATACTTAATTTTTTTGCTAAATATATTTAGGAGGGTCATGCTAGATACCATGAGGAATACAAAAAGTAAAAGATACAAGCAACCGTAGGGACCTCGAAAACATACCTACTGAAAAAGTCAGATCATACTGCAAGCAGCTTGTGATTAAATGCTAAAGTTAAAAGGTAGAGGAACGTGTAGGTATGCTGATTTCCTCATTTTACAGCTGAAGTCCTGTATATACTGATTAAAGTTTAAGGTTCAGCAAGGAAGCCAGGCCAAAGATTGAGGTCAGATTCATGAATGAATAAAATGATGATTTATATTCAGTTAAGAGGGAAAAAATTGTTTTGCTTCCATTCATTTGTAAAGTAGCTGATCAGCAGATTGGCTTCCAAAGGACATACCTGAGATAAGGATGCCAAGAGATTGCTGCTGCTCTTTGCTTCCTTTAAATCTCCTGGAGGATTGTCCAAAGTTTGGTGGCCTTGGTGGCCCAAGAGAGTGAAGTATCCTCCAAGTTGAAGAAATACAGAATTTTTAGCTCATTTTGTTTAGTTCCCTAGAAATGTCAGTATACAAAAACAACTTAATACTGCCAAATAAGACAATAACTCTGCTGCCTAACAAACCACATCATTTGGGCCTCCTCTTTGGGTTCTAGGCCTTAATTTCTTGCTCTTTTCAGCTCCACTTATACTACAGGTACTAGGGGTTTTGCATATGTATCCTCTTACAGGCTGACTGTAAACAGGTCTGATCAAGGCTTATCTGAGTCAGTATCTCAGTTAAGAGGCTTTTAGCAACAAATAGAGATAAAAGATMAATTCATAGTAGTGAAACAATAAAGAAAATATTCTGACTCAAATATTAAAACAATTCACAATAGAGGAGTTCCAGGTATGTTATCAGGGACCCAAGTTCTTTTTATCCTTTTGCTCTGTAATCCTGGTTACAAATATCACATACAATCAAAATTATATCTAACAGGAGAAAACAGATTCTTCTTTCCTGTCTATAGCTTTCAGAAGCATCTCTTTTTTTCAAAAGGCTTTTTTCCCAATCCACTTCACACCCCCACCCCCATAAAAAAGGAAAGGGATAAATAAAAGACTTCACATGCCTGGTGAACCAGAATTGAATCACATTACRTACCCTTAACCAGCTCCTGGGAAAAACTGATTTAAGAGTATTCATGGATTTCCCCTTGCTTGAATCATGTGATGTAGATGATCATCTAATAAACAGAATCCTATTCTGTCCTCAGGGAAGAAAGGGAGAGTAACAGCTATTGTCAGGAGTTATATAGTACCTGACAAAATCAATGAATTATAGTTATTATATAGTTATAGTCATAGGTTTAAGTGATGAACTTAGATGGTCCATCTGCCCTTTCTCTTACCATATTTTCAGTGGCTCATACCAGAGTACACAAAATAAAAAGGAAGTAGTCATTTGGAAATATAGATAGAAAAACTTTCTCAAAATTATATGCAAATAATGACTGCTGATGTAGAAAATCTAAGAGAAACTACAGGGAACTTAGAACAATAGAGAAATTCAGCAAAGTGTTTAGATAAAAGAACAAGAAATGGAAATTAATGGCAATATTTTTTACTAGCTGCAACCAATTAGAAAATATAATTTTAAAATATAGTCRCAATGTGTAAAACTTAGAAAATTATGAATCATAATTTAAAATTAAGATACAAATAAAAGGTAATTATGAATTGGAAAACTATTATAGAGATGGCAGTCATTCCAAAATTAATCAGTAAACTCATTGGATCTCCTATAAAATCTCAGCATGGAATTTCACAAATAAATGCTAAATTTATTTTAGAAGCATCAATACAATCTTGAAGAAGAGTGAAGGTAAACTTTCTCTATCAGATATCAAGCAAGAGAAGTAAAACAATGTGGAACTGGCATAAGGATAGAAAGTTCTATGATTAGAACATATAGAGAGCCCAGAAGCACATCCAGACATAAAAAGACTCACTTAGGGGCAGAGGAGGTGGCAGTTAGTGGAAAGAGAATACCTATGTAATAAATGCAAAAATGTGATAAATTAGGTCTTTCTCATGTATGATACACAAAAATAAACTCTAGGTGTTTTAATGACCTGAATGGGAATATAAGAGTACCTCTGTGGCCTCTTAAAAAAAGACATACAAGAAAAGGTTAATGGCTGCAATAAAATTTAAAATTTATAAGACAAGACACCATAAACAAAGTTAAAAGATAAACCA